AAAAAACTCTTGTTATGTGATTGCAGTAGACATTTAACTCGGGAGCTATTTATTGGCTAATATTAGCGGCACTAGTGATCGACATTAATGCGAGATTTGTTCAAAGAATTGTTTTGCAACTCATTTTTGGCAAATCAAACCGTCAAATGACATTTGTTTTCAGTTTACTCAGGGCTTTGAATTTGTAATAAATATTCTGTTCGTTATTCGCAAACAATTGAAAAACTCTTTTGAAAAGTATTATATAAAGGAATGTCTGATCGCATAATAAATACCGTATTTGTGGCCAAAAGCAGTTTCTTATTGACGACAACCCCAGTGTTTGCCACTAAAGAGTCAAATAAATCATTGCCTGAAATGAATATTCCTTTATATAACTTATTATATCCTTTATTCTGAAAGCGATGTCAAAAATATCGGAAATTAAAACCAATAAATCTCAACAGAAAATCATTTTATTGTATTCGTATTCATTCCTATCATTCATAACACATAAGAATTTGTTGCAAAAAATACTCGTTTTTATTTTAAATGATTGTTTGAATTCAATCACTAAATAATCATTTCTTGAGATATTTTTCCATTCGATTAGCAAATAGTCGTTATTTGACTTAAAGAACACATTTTTGTTGTTTTTGGAGGAATTCATAAATCTTTTCGAAAAGTAATTTATTTTCAAAAAACTAACAAAATTGTGAAGATTTTTGATGCTTTGAGAGCAGAAGTATTGGGAAACAAAGAGAGTGAACAGAATGCGAGCTTTTTGTCAAATAAAGTATTAATACAAAAACGAATTGAAGAAAAATTAGTTTTTTGAAAATATGAACTTATAAACTATAAAAATATTGTACACATCCTCTCTATCTATCTCTCTCTCTTTCTTTCTCTCTCTCTCTCTCTCCCTCTCTCTCTCCCTCTCTCTCTCTCCCTCTCTCTCTCCAGCATCAGCTCATAAATAAATAAATAAATAAAAAGTTCACAATAAATACCATACAAAACAAAAGTCATTTTTCACAACTGTTTTGCTATCATTTTATGAGTTCATATTAATTAATAAAAAAATGAATTAAATATTGAAAACATGAAAATATTGAGAAAATAATATTTTTTCATTTAAATGTAAAGAAGATATGTTTTGATACATAGCTTCTGAGAGACATTTATTGATTTATTTTGTGAAAGCAATTTAGAAATGGTTTGAAATTCAAATATAAAGTCATATATTTTATATTTGAACCAAATTTTGATATTGAAGTTGACATAAATCGCATCAAAATATACGTATATATAAAATGCATTAAAAACTTCTTTTTGAGACAAAAACCTTAAAATATAAATAAAAAGTCAATAAAAATCGTAAGTTCCTATGAATTGGAGATAAAAATTCTGTGAATAATAATAATAATAACGGAAATAACACTAAAAACTAATAATTACTAAAAATAAAAATTCTTAAAGTTATTGGAAAATGCATTAAAACTTCAAATAAAGTGTTGCATTAGTATTAGTTGGAGTATTTGAGTATTGACTGACTGTGGGGAGGGAGGGAGAGGGTGTGTGTGAGAGAGAGAGAGAGAGAGAGAGAGAGAGAGAGAGAGAGAGATAACACGGGCAGTACAGTGCGGTACCAGTGCTATCACTACTGTCTTTGAGTGATCTTTTTCTCGATGTAGTTGTAGTGATACTGTAGTGTATGGAGTGGTAGAGCATAGGCTGCCAGTGCTCTACCGTATGATGCGGTGGTGTGCGAGTGTGGGCCGTCTCTCTGGGCACAGACAGGCATAACATACAGTGTGTGCCGTACTGTGCAGTGCGAGTCACATGACTGCCAATTGATTGCCAGCTCTTGTGCTCCACTCTCTCTTCGTCTCTCTCTTTCGCTCTCATCTGTCGAGTACTGACTGACTGTGTGTTGAGTCGAGTGTCGTATGTCTTAGTGTTGTGTCCGGCGTTCAGACGATCGCACACTGAATACAGCTATAGTTATACAGCAGTGATAGTGATGTCACACAACCAGTGATCACTCATTACAGCCAACCATTCAAACCATTCAAAAGCATTGCATGAAGATTGCCATCCAATTGTATCCATTCGTGTCACACAAGTGTTTGTCTCACACTCTCTCACACTCTCTCTCTCTCACTCTCTCTCTCTCTCTCCCTCTCAACCCAACAGTGATTTTCAGTCAAAAAACACTTTTATTGACAAACGTTTGCCAAAAACCAATGCTTTCTCGCATTCAATGCACACGTATTTGTCACTCAATCCAGTGATCAACTCTTCGGCCCTATTATTGGCGACCACTTCAGACACCACTCGACAACACATCCGATCATATAATCCATTCATTCAATTGTGATTCAAAACCTCAAACTTAATCATCATTTTTGGGAAACTTTTTTTGTGGACATCTTTTTCGGTGACAACTCTTTGGGAACCAGTCTTTGACACGGATTTTGAGATAAAAAATCTATTTATTTATTGTTATAAACATTGAGATTATATCCAAATATCTCTCATATTCTTCGCAAACAATTATTCTGTGATTCTTGTGGTGAACCAAACCTCGTGTCCAACAAACAATCCTATGAATGTTTGTCTGCAGTGATTGACCAGTGATTTCGCACCGATTATCACCGCAAGACTGATCCGATTGTCATGTTTTCGCCGCCGAGCCAACAAAACGGCAACTCTTTGGCCGCACTGTCCGAGTGTGGGCTCAACGGGTCGACAACGCCCTCGTGGGCACCCCTGCTGTCTGGGGGTCCATCTGATCCGTATGGACTGAAACTGCATCACTATTCCGATTATCTGGTGATGACTGCACTGCCGGCCCACTCGCCGACCGACCCGTTGGGCGCGTTGTCGCACACGAGTAACGGGTCGTCCGGACAGCAAAAGGACACCACCTTCACCAAGATCTTCGTCGGCGGACTTCCCTATCACACCACCGACAAGTCGTTGCGACAGTTCTTCGAGACGTTCGGCGACATCGAGGAGGCGGTCGTCATCACTGACCGACAGACAGGAAAGTCCAGAGGATATGGATTCGTAAGCGAGAACCGTCTTATCCCTTTGCCTACCATTCCTCCCGTTCCTCTCACTATTTGCCTACCATTCCTCCCATTCCTCTCACTATTTGTTTGAATATAAAACAAAATTAGAGATAATTTTGTTATATTTTTAGAGTAAAGACTTATTTATTGTTTTAGTCATTCATTTAACGCCTTATTTTGAGAAACTATTAGATTTGATGAGAGTTTGTGAGCAAAAGTTTAGCAAAATATTTAGTGTTTATTATTTCCATTCATATCATAAGGCAGTCAGAGATGTGTTTGTAATGTAAACTACAGTCAATTGTCGGACACATCAGACCATTGCCTGTCAAGTGAGTGATAGATAGAGTGAACACTCGTTATAACAAACATTATATTCATTATACAAGTTATGTGTATCGCGACTAACGAAGTGCACCCCATCTTAACATATCTTACCATACGATGCCTCACCACTGATAGTCCTAATACTGGCACTCATATAGCAGTCGAGTATATGTTGTGGTCCAACAGATCCAACACTTCCAACATATTTAAGTTTGCAATAAATCATAAAAAGGAGTCTAACGGAAGTGAATCCAATCGTATCTCATCTCTACTCTAAGTCTAGGGATAGAAATGAGACATAAAGAGGTCATCACTTTGTTTTGTGTCTAAAACACTGGAAACGGATAGTTTGTATTTTCTGTGTCTCTGTGTCCACTCGTTTTGTACAAAATAAACTCATTTTTTGCAATTCTTTACTCAATTCTGTATAGCATTTAGTGTGATATGAACTCTAAACCCAATGCATAACACATTCACTTCACATATAATCGACTTTCTTGTGAAAGGTTTGTCCCTTTTTTTTGAAGGCACGAGCCTTTAGAGCCCAGAGATGGATGAGTTAACACGTGTTCCTCCACTGCATGCCTACCCCTCGTCTCATATGTGTTGCAGTCGTAAGACTTCTTACATAACTTTTAGCTCTCATTCGTTTTGGTCTCCAATTTGCGTTCACTTTTGAGTTGAAAAAACTTTTCGACTCATTTTGTGTGGAAATAAAAATAGAGATTTGGAGTGAAGACGGAGACATAAATTCAATGTTTAAATCACTTTTGAATGGACTTTAAATGGGAATTAAAAATATTATTTCATGAGTAGAGCCACACATCTCTAAATTATTTTTTCAAATGAGTTTTCGTTTCTCTTAGTAATAGTTTTGTTATGAAATATGTGTTTAAATTATGACAGTTTACGATAATTTTATTTTTTATATCCCATGCCTTTCCCCTAATCCCTATCTTCTGATTTGCATCACATTTTATATGAGGATTGAGTGTTAATCTTATTTTGGGTCTTATTTAGCTCTCATTCGTGGGTCGTCTCCTCCCATCCCCCACACAATCATTCATTTTCTTTATTCGTATCTTTTGTTTGAATCCAGACTCTGATGTATAGAGCAATGAGAATGAGAGCTAAGTCGGGAAGACAACCAAAAGTCTCGATAACATTGCTCTCATTCAATATCACAAACACATTCATAGCTTATGCCATAGAACTTAGAGTTAGATTGGATTAGAGAGAGAGAGAGAGAGAGAGAGAGAGAGAGAGCTATCAATTAATTGAAATATTTCTCAAATAAAATCTATATTTACGCTAAAAATTCACCAATTTCTTTGCAGTCATATCTTTTACTACCAGTGCTTTGCTCTCTCTCTCTCTCTCTCTCTCTCTCTCATTCAATATCACAAACACATCCAAAGCTTATGCCATAGAACTTAGAGTTAGATTGGATTAGAGAGAGAGAGAGACAGAGAGAGAGAGAGAGAGAGAGAGAGCCAGTGATATGAAAACTTGGGTAGAGTAGAGCTGAGGTTGAAGTTTGTGCCGTTTGTGTCGATTCAGTGATAAGAAGTGAAACGAAAGATGAGAGAGAAGTGAGAGATGAGGAGAGGGTATGGAGAGAGTGGGAGAGTGGGATGAGGAGAGGGATGGGGAGTGGAGTGGTGTGTAGTGTAGTGAAGAAGTTAGCGGTGTTTGGGTCTAAATAAAGCGCTCTCTGACTGCCAATGACTGGCAATGGATTGAATCCCTGAGCGCCACAACTGTGCCGTTCAACCAGAACTGTTCGGTTCGGTTGTCGATCAAAAAAGCATTGAATAGATGGCAAGAAATAGTTATAGTGTTATAGTATTGACAATAAATGCTTTGTTTAAGGCTTGTGTTAAGCACTGGCAGTCGTAAGCCGTGTGGCTATTAGTTCACGGCTATCAGATTCGCCTCAATTTGCTTGCAATCCAATTGTGTTTACTCTCACCAAAAGCTCCCATTCTCTCCACTATTGAACACATTGTTTGTAAATTGGGTTTTGTTTTTCCAACTAAACAACACTTAACTCCCAATACGCCAAACACTTTACACACTAACACACGAGCACTCATTAACTGAACACTCAATTGAAAACATTCGCCAGAATTATATATAAATTGATGAAAACTCTATAAATATTTTTTATAACTACTACTCAGAGAAGAATATAATAATTGCGAGATTTTTGAGCACAAAAGCAAAACATTACTCAATCCGATGATGACATATGTTTCACATTTTCTTTGCAGTCATATCTTTTACTACCAGTGCTTTGCTCTCTCTCTCTCTCTCTCTCTCTCTCTCTCTCTCTCTCTCGCTTCTCTTTTAAAAATAATAAATTATTAGTCTATTAAATATGTTTTCACTCGAGTCTCTCAATAACTGAGTATAACAACTGCATTGTATATTGAGTACACGTTTTACTACTCATTTTTTAATTCATAATTTCTTATTTCCTTTTTTCAAAACTCATGCTTTCATTACGAATCGATTCGCGGATTGTGAATATTCTTGATATTAATGTTTTGTGCTTTAAATTAAGAAATATTTGTTTCCAGAATTGCAAACAAACACAAAGGATGTGTTCATTTGAATTGTGGTCTGAATGAATGCATATTTGCATTGAATTAAACAGTAGTAACGGTCAGAGAGATGTCTCTTTTAAAAAACTTGCAGTTTTATTGTCTAAATAACAAATTCTTGCTTTCATTTGGTTATTATCTTTTATTTTATTCGTTGTTTTTTGCCAAACGATGCGAAAAGCATTTCATATATTATATAAGAATCAGAATAAATAGTTTTGAAACTCTTAACCATTAAAAGCACATCAAAAGACATGAACAGCACATATAGAAAGTACAGACAGAAAGAGTGCACAAAATTCTTTTGTATTTTTCAATCGAAATGTATTTTTCTATGAATACGATTGTATGAGTATTATCTCTCTGATCACACAATTGTCTGCCATTGTATGTCATCCACCAAACAATGCATAGCTATGGTTGAGGTCCTCTTCCATTTCCATTACTCCACCACTTTTGCTCTCATCTCATCTCCCTTTCCCTTTTTATTTACACTGCGAAGGTCTCTCTCTCTCTCTCTCTCTCTCTCTCTCTCTCTCAAACAGATATACGAAACAGTGAACATCTCTCTCTCTCTCTCTCTCTCTTTCTCTCTCTCCCTCTCTCTTTCTCTCTCTCTCTCTCCCAAACAGATATACGAAACAGTGAACACTGATTGTGAATTGTAATGTTTTTCTTATATTTAGGTTACAATGGCTGACAGAGAGTCGGCCGAACGGGCTGTCAAAGAGGCCAATCCTATTATCGATGGACGCAAAGCTAATGTAAATCTCGCGTATTTGGGGGCCAAACCACGTACTAATATACAGAACGGTATGACAACCAAACCATCATTAGTTTCACACAAATTTTATATCTTATTAATTAAATGCCAATAATATGTCAGACAATATATCCCATATTCAGTACAGAGTTACCGTATAATAAAAAATGAAAAGCAATAGCAATAGAGTTCGATAGACATTAAAACACAATTATTTGAACCATTATTTAAAAAGTTTTACATCAATATAAATGACATATAAAAGACTTTCTTAACTATGTTTAAAAAAGTTTACGTTTGAATGATAGCCCCCTTTGATATGTTTTAATGGATGCAAGAATTGATGCATTTTCTCGTCTGAATAGCTTATATCGCATCCAAATTAAAGCTTCCGTTTTTGGCACTTAAACTCATTTCCAACACAACTAAAAAGCATTAGTTTTTAATTTGAGTTTAACTTTTTAAGTCGAAAGTGGAGACTATCTCTTCCTTTCCTCGTGTCTGTCGTCTAAGCCGTGACTTAACTATTTGTCTCCAAACTATTGAAAACGTTTCTAAGATTTGAGGAGTTTTTTAGGAGTTTTTACTTTAAATTTGACTTTTGTTTCGCATATAAAATGTATACAAAGGTGTAAAGCATTGTGTGTTAACTTCATTTTAATAGTAATCAAATTCCTTAAGAGAGATGTTTTTCCCAACTTTTAAGTAATGAATAAATTTCTTCTTTCTCTTCTTATATGTTATAGAAATCTATTGATATTTTTCTTATACATTCAAAGGCTGTGCCAACTTTGCAAATGTCATTCATATAAGAGATTATGTTTTTGTTTTCACTAAAAGACTCACTTTTAGTATTGAATGAGAAAAATGAAACGTAAATTGGATTTAGTTTTTTGGTTTGTTTTGCTTTCCCTTTATTCCGATGCATTGCTTATGAATACAACAATCGTTGATATCATATAATCATTAGATCTGACATTTGATTCAAATCACATGTAATACACATACGATTCTTATCGCACATGTATTTATTTAATTCAATTTATGGCACAATTGAGTTGAATAGACAAACAAATGGCTAATAAATATAAGCGCCTATCGATTGATTATAAGAGATATTTATGCGACGTTTCCGTTGCAGACAGGCGTTCACATCCCTGTCCCACACACTCGTGTGGATCCAATATGTTATGTTATTTTCGCAGAATTAACGTAAAACTGTATAATTTGTTGAATATTCTTCACTTTACGACATCACCATTAGCTCCCATTTGCATATAATTGGCGTTTCAAATATATTGTTGTCTATAATTAACTCCACTTTTAAAGTTCAAAAGCAGACTATTTCTCCCAAATTCTCTTAACTCTAATAATTGTTGAATGATTTAACACTGTTTTCACTTATTTTTCGTTTTTTCGGAGACTTTTTTGTTGGTCTTTATGGCTTTCTTACTTTTATTGTTTGCTTAAAAAACATTAATTACCAATCAGTCACTAAACTATTAAATATTAGATATAATTGAATGGAAAAATGATTATTATTTGTGTGTATAATAGAGAAACAGAATTATGATTATTCGCCAAAAAAGTTATATTTCTTTTCGGAAGAAGTTTTGCCAAATAATTGAAGCGCGAAATGAATTGAGAAGAGATCTAATGGTTTGGATATACAGTGGATGTGATGTGAAGTACAGCCCAACTCTTTCACACAAATTCTTGAATTTGATGTTTAATTCTGTTATTAATGTGGTGTTGGGCTGAGGGCTGGCATGTATTTCCTGAATCGCTGTGCCATTTCATGTGCTGACAGGTACACAAATGGTTGACTCAAATAATAAGCCCCGCGCCTCCTCTTCCCCCAACACACACTCAGACACACTGTATGTTTCAAAAGGTTTGACTTATTTTTTGATTTTTGTAATTCGGCCAAAAGTGGAGCTCAAGAAAAATTGTAGTCTTCATAGACTTAGACATTGAGTCGCGTTTCTCGTGAATAAATGCATCGCTTAAATCGGATTTGGCTCTAAAAACCTTCAACTCTTGTGGGCGAAAGGTTTCTTCGCTGAAGAGTTGCACAAATGTATGTTTGGAGACGAGGTTTCCATCCAATCATACATACAAACAGACAAACACTACACCACTAAACGCTCGCAAAACTCTGGCACTTCTCTCCCATTCCACTCGTGTTTTGCACCATATTTTTAATCATTAATTTTACTTCACATCCCATTTGTGACAAACTATTAGATGAGAAGTCATAACACATATTCAAGTTATTATAGTCTACATCTCATGTTAGAAATTAGAGATTACGATATATTGTCAAATATAAAGCACAAGCGAAATGTTTAAAAATGCTTTTGATTTCTAAATACATTTAATTAGACTCGCTTTCACTACATTCCTTTCATTTGCGGGTAAAATGTTTTTTTTGAGTTGAAGTTTAGTCCTTTACACAGAAATCTTACTTATCTATTAGATGCCCAATACTCTACAATTTAATGTAGGCAGGGTAAAGTATGTTTTAAGGGGCAATATTTTTCATATTGGAGATTTATTTAGCTAATACTGTATGATTTTTTAGCAGTGCTAATATTTAGGCGTTTTGGGTAAATTTATAATCTTATCAAAATATTTGAATAACAATTTTATAGCACATCTCAACAAATATTTAGCGCAACTTTTTTTCGTGTAATTGATTCCCAAAAGANCTTTTGATTCTCATTAATATTAATGAAAATGGTTTTTGTTTTGAGAGGAAAGAGAGAGAATGAAAGGAAGAGTAAGAAAGTGAGAGAAAAAGAGACATAAAAGATGTGAAAATTGTGTTTGAAATCAATGACATATAACACATGCGATACACACAATCATATCGTCTCGCATATGATTCAATGGTTTAAAAGTTGTTTTGTGTGCGAAAATCACATTCAAAATAGAGTTTAAAAATTCAATACAACATCAAAATATTGAATACAACAACGATATGATTGTGAAATGGATTTGACTGAAACTTTTTTCTGGTCGTAAAGCAATCGCCTTTTATTTCATTAAGTCTTTCAGAGATATTATGTCTTTTCAGACGAAATGAAAAGAAATCAAAAATCTCAAAAAACTTGTTTTTATGCATTAAATTAATCATCGTTTTAAGGGTGCTTTTGATCGTTGATTACAACGACTGCAATGAGTTGTCATTTAATTTGATTTTTTCGCTGTTATTCATGGCTAAGAAAAATGGGCCCAAAAATAAAAGATAACTATTAAGGAGACGACACAAAATCAAAAGTTTATTAATAAATGTCAGCAAAAGAGAGAAAATAATTATTTAAAACTTATCGTAATATTTTTGCCACAACTTTAAAGTTGGCAAATATTAATAGTAATCATTATAATTGTCAGAAAAAAATAAATTATAATTTATATCGATTATTATTCTTAAGAATAGCCTTAAAAAACATTAACTCACAAAATTAAATGCATTTTTCACTACTATTTCTCTTATCTCTCATTATATTTGTATTTAAAAAAGAAATACAACAACGATATGATTGTGAAATGGATTTGACTGAAACTTTTTTCTGGTCGTAAAGCAATCGCCTTTTATTTCATTAAGTCTTTCAGAGATATTATGTCTTTTCAGACGAAATGAAAAGAAATAAAATCTCAAAAAAACGCGTTTTTATGCATTAAATTAATCATCGTTTTAAGGGTGCTTTTGATCGTTGATTACAACGACTGCAATGAGTTGTCATTTAATTTGATTTTTTCGCTGTTATTCATGGCTAAGAAAAATCGGCCCAAAAATAAAGATAACTATTAAGAGACGACACAAAATCAAAAGTTTATTAATAAATGTCAGCAAAAGAGAGAAAATAATTATTTAAAACTTATCGTAATCTTTTTGCCACAACTTTAAAGTTGGCAAATATTAATAGTAATCATTATAATTGTCAGGACTTTTATTTAATATTAAATATAGCTAATAATAAGAATTCTTATCGGAATTTTTTGTAATTGAGTGTTTTAATTTACGTAAAAAGTGATGATAAAGAGAATAGAGAGTAATATAAACATAAATTTTTTCAGTAAATTCCTTACATTAACCAAAAGCAATGCAATTCTTTAATAATAAATATAAATCAATATTAAAAAACTTAAAATAAACCACACATTGAATTCATGTTCATATAAATAATCTCACGTTAATGTAAACCATACTTTTATTTGAATTTAAAAATGATGTTAAATAGTAAACACAAAGACTAATATAAATAAAAGCAAACAATTTGTAAATCTGGGAATTTAATTAATCAATTGTGCCATACATTTGACATTAAGACCCAAACGATTAAGTCTTTTGGGAATCAATTACACGAAAAAAAGTTGCGCTAAATATTTGTTGAGATGTGCTATAAAATTGTTATTCAAATATTTTGATAAGATTATAAATTTACCCAAAACGCCTAAATATTAGCACTGCTAAAAAATCATACAGTATTAGCTAAATAAATCTCCAATATGAAAAATATTGCCCCTTAAAACATACTTTACCCTGCCTACATTAAATTGTAGAGTATTGGGCATCTAATAGATAAGTAAGATTTCTGTGTAAAGGACTAAACTTCAACTCAAAAAAAAGTAAAATGGGCGTTTACTTTCCTTACATCACTTTCGCTCAGATTAATTTACATAAATCTTTAGTTTTCGTAAAAATTTGTAAAGCGAACACGAAATATAAACTGTTATATAGCATTAGAGATTAAAGCAACATGAGATGTAGACTATAATAACTTGAATATGTGTTATGACTTCTCATCTAATAGTTTGTCACAAATGGGATGTGAAGCAAAATTAATGATTAAAAATATGGTGCAAAACACGAGTGGAATGGGAGAGAAGTGCCAGAGTTTTGCGAGCGTTTAGTGTAGTGTTTGTCTGTTTGTACGTATGATTGGATGGAAACCTCGTCTCCAAACATACATTTGTGCGACTCTTCAGCGAAGAAACCTTTCGCTCACAAGAGTTGAAGGTTTTTAGAGCCAAATCCGATTTAAGCGATGCATTTATTCACGAGAAACGCGACTCAATGTCTAAGTCTATGAAGACTACAATTTTTCTTGAGCTCCACTTTTGGCCGAATTACAAAAATCAAAAAATAAGTCAAACCTTTTGAAACATACAGTGTGTCTGAGTGTGTGTTGGGGGAAGAGGAGGCGCGGGGCTTATTATTTG